AGAAAAAAATTTATATTAATAGTTTAGCAGCACTGCTCTTATAGGTATTTAATTACATAACAGACAGTTTTCAAGTTATTCTTCCATATCTAATCTCATCTGATCTTTCCAAATGCCCTGTGGGTTTTGGATTAGTAAAATGGTTGTTAAGCCTCAGGATACTTGAAGATATTACGTGATCTGGCCAAAGCTACATACTGAGTTACAAAATCTAAGACAGAACTGAAGTCAGATTTCCTGGAAACTCCTCCAGTTCTCTTTCTACAGCTTCAAAAAGGTACAGGGAAGCTTTGCAATGAAAGTAGCTTTAATGTGGGCACCACTGTTTGGGGAAAGAGCAGTAAACAAAGGGTGAGATTTAAACTGGTGAGCTGGGAAAAGGGGAACATTAAGGCAAATGCACGGCTTGTTTTACAGGAGTGAGAAATAGCATGTCCCTTTCTGTTCAGTGCTCTGCTAGATTCTATAGAGGAGATAATTTTCGCCTTTGAAAACTCAGGGAGCTACACTAGCCAGGCACAGGTAGACTAACTATGAATAAAACAGTGTAAGCATAAGTTAACATAATGACAGCTACCTACAGATTCATGGGAGATTGTCATTTGAATCAGAAATTCTGGTTCAAAGCAGAATTTTTGGTGCCAGAAAAACCTAGATTTGCATTCTGGTTTTGCCATTACTAGTTATGTTGTGTCTCAAAACTGTTTACCTCTTTAAGCCTCATAAGAATGTATAAGGGGACTGTTGTCAGGGAGATGACAAGGCCTCTGGTCTTGTTTTCTTGAGGGGAAGATTTTAATTAGGAGACAAAGTGTAGAAAAGCGAGCGAGAATCTATTGACTGCAGCGAAACTATACTTAGGAGAGTGAGACAATGAAGGGCATAGAAGCAGCAGAAGAGCTAGGCCGAGCTGCCTTCGCTCACTGGGAAGCCAGAGAATAGAGGCCTTGTAGACAGGTTGGGGGTTAGCTGGGACAGGACCAGCTGCCACTGCCCATTGCTTCCCTGGTTGCAAGCATCATGGGGGTGGGAGATGGGAGAAGGGAGAAGGGAATGGTATGGGCATTATGAGCATGCTGGGACTTTCACTTTCAGGGATTGTAAAGGCCTGGCATTTAGGGGAAGTCTTAGGGACAGATCAATAGACTATTCATCAGTTTTACGCTGATGAACCAAAATGAGATATATTCTTTTAAATTTGTCTGTCCTTCGGTGTGGTTGAAAATGGCATTTAATTGGATTTCTGTTATCTGTCTCCCAGAGTAAGGTGATTTAAGCTATTTACCCTCTGGTTGGGGAGAAGAGGTACAAACCATTTGCTCTTGAGTGCCCTTGATTTAGGGAAGATAGGACTTACTAGGTGGCTGCAAATTGCTGTTTAACTTAGTTTTCCTATTCTGCTTGTCCTGGAATTTTCTTAGCTTCTTACTATTCTATAACAGGAACAGTAGCAGTTTTTATAAGGTCATTATGAGGATTAAATGAGACATTGCATAAAAAGCACTAAAGCATAGTGTCTGCCACTTAATATAATAATTGAGTGTTAGCTATTATAATAGACTAGTAACCACGGCTGATCTGTCGAAGTCCACTGCTTAGTGCCCAATCTGTTGGCAGCAGAGATCAACATTGAGCCCCTAATACCACACCGTTCCCAAAGTGATCAGCCAACAGGTTAATTACATTCAACCCTCCTGTCATGGAAGGGGCAGCTTTTTGTTCTTACTAGAATATACACTTAATCTGGATACAGATTTGCCTTCTTTGTGTGCAATGCTTTTGCCAAAACAGCTGTTCATGGACTTCTAGAACGCCTCACCCACCACCATGATATTCCATGCAGCATTGCTTCTGAACAAGGAGCTCACTTCACAGTGAGTGAAGTAAGGCCATGGGACCCATGCTACTATTCTGAAGCAACGTGGCTTGATACAATGGTGGAATGGCCTTTCAAAGACTCGGTTAGCTAGGTGGCAATATACCTTGCAGGGCTGGGGCATGGTTTTCCAGGAAGTTTATTAGACTCTGAATTAGCATCCATATTTGGT